ATGGAGTAGGCCCGCAGACTGGAAACTCCCGGAAGAGTCCAAACATAGTCTGATGGCAAAATGGGGAGGTCAGTTTTTGTTCTGGTAAGGCCTTCCGCTAATTCGATAAGACCCATCCACTTTATGCAGGGCAACCTGCGTTACTCAAAGTCCACTGCTTTAAATGTTAATCTCACCCTCACAGAAACATCCAGAATAATGTTTGACCATATATCAGGGCACCTTGGCCCAGCCAAGTTGACGCATAAGATTAATGATCACAAGATATCACACAATACACTTTTATAAACTGCATCGAGGCCGGGTGCTGTGGCTCACGCCTGTGATCCTTTGGGATCACATTGGGAAGGGAGGTGGGAGGATTGGCTGAGGCCAGGAGTTTGAGACCAGCCCAGGCAACATAGCCAGAAGCTGTCTCTACGAAAAAAAATGTTAAAATCAGCCAAGTGTAGTGGCGCATGCCTGTAGTCCCAGCTACTCGGGAGGCCGAGGCAGGAGGATCACTTGAGCCCAGGAATTCAAGGTTGCAGTGAGCTATGATGACACCACTGTACTCCCACCTGGGGGATAGAGTGAGACCCTGTCTCAAAAAATAAATAAATAAGATATAATAAACTGTAGTGGAAGTGTAAATTGGTAAAGCCACTTTGGCAAATGGTAGAAACGTCGAAGCCGCTCACATCTTTTTAACTCAGCAATGATACTCCTGGGCACAAACCCTAGAGAAACAGGCTGCACACACAGGTATGTTCACAGCAGCATGGCACAGAAGAGCTTGAAACTGGAAACAACCTGTGTCCGTCAGCCGTAGAAGAGATAAAATTGTGGTATATTAACATAATGGAAAGCTGTACAGCAATGAAGATAAATCACAGGCACCTGCAACACTACGGATAAATCTTAAAAGCAGAATGTTGAGTGGGCGAAGCCAGATAGGTATGAGTGAAGACACACTATGATACAAACTCCAAAAGGGACGGTAACATGTGGCAAATATATAAAGGAAAGTAAGGAAGTGATTTCAGTAGCGTTAGGATCATGGTTTCCTGCAGAGGAATGGAGTCGTGACAGAGGAGGGGACATAGGGTATTTCTGGAGTGCCAATAATAGTCCGTTTCTTGAACCAGGTGATAGTTATATGGATGTTAGCTTTATGATATTTTGTTAAATTGTATACTTATTCTTATGTAGTTTTCCTTATAAATTATATCTAGTTATAAATTGTTTTTTAATGATGGAAACACAAAGACTCTAGGCGGCCGTTACAGATTCTTTTTGCATTTTATTTAGATATATATATATCTCATCAGAAAATGAACCTAAAAGCCTAAGTGGGCCTCCAAACATACTTGGCTCAAGACACAAACTCACCCACTCTGTTCTTCATGCAAACTCCACCCTTGGACAATCAGTTTATGACCACTTTCATGAGAAACAAAAGTGGTGGCTTTTTCTGAGAATTATGGGAAAGTAGTCATCATCACCAAAAAACCATTAGCAAGGATCTATCACAACTGCTACCATTTTCAAGCACCTTTTTGGTGACTTTCAAATCCATCTTACTCAAGCCTCAAAAATGACCCTGGCGCCAGGCAAGGTGACACGCACCTGTATTCTCAGTCACTCGAGAGGTTGAGGCAGAAGGTTGCAGTGAGCTGTGACTGATTGAACCTGTGAATAGCCACGGCACTCCAGCCAAGGGAGGCAGGGTGAGACCCTGTCTCAAAAAAAAAAAAAAAAAAGAATGATGGGAGAAACTGGTGTGTGTGTGTGTGTGTGTGTACTCAGTGAAAAAGAGAATGCTGGAATAACACAGCTAAGTTAGCTACAAAACTGGCTACTGCCCTACAGGGCAATAAGACCATTACCTTTGGGGTTATCATTATGATCTCTTCCAAATGTTTCCACTTCACTCATATCTCCACCAGACAAAAACTATTTGTATCTTATCCATTTTTGGCAGGTCAACAGCTGACATTACAAACTCTGGGCCCTGATCCATAGTAAATAAAAAGTCAAAGAAGACTTTATTCCCCTAAAATGATATTTCTCAACCAGGGTTCCAAAGAGAGGATTGCGCCCACATGCCCAAGGCGTTGTTCGTGAGTAATCCATCAACTTTGCTCCTGTGCAACTAGAGCAGTACTAGTTATGTACTATCTGAGAGAGAACTGAGAAAATTGTCACTCAAACGATTTTCTGTGTTCAGAGAATCAGGTGACCCAGATTCTCCTGCCCAATTTCTGAGTTTTGGATAATTTTTCTTAAAAGGAGAAACTAAAATTGTACAGAGTGTGAGAAAGAGTTTAACCACAGCAAGTTGTACCCTTCAGTATATGAGGACCCACCTGGGAGAAAAACCTGATAAAATGCTCTGAGTACAGAAAGAACTTTAGTGAGAATGTGAACCTCATCCAACACCAGGAAACCCACAGGGAACAGAAGCCACGTGCAAAGAAGAGGGTTTCTGTGGGCTTATGCCTCCTCACCCACCACAAGGAAAGGTCCTCATAGCAGAGAAACCCTACACCTGCCCCCAGTGGGAGAAAGACTGAATTTGTAACCCTATACTGATTGAATATCTCAGTCCATCCCCACAAAGGGACAAATTCTGCATACACCACGATGAAGTCAGCTTCATCAGGCAGGGGGGTTTCCACAAAGCAGACACCCTCTACATGTCCAGAGTGCGGCGATGGCTTTGGCCAGAGAGCCAAAATGCTCGAGGAGGTAAACCAACGGGTTGGGAAAACCTCTCCACTGGGCCTTATCCACTCTGCAACTTCAGCCCACAAAGCGTCGGACTTCTACAGCGGGGCCCGGAATACGTCCTCTGCTGCCTGTTTCAGGTTAGCCCCTGGAGTGTGTCAGTAATGTATAAGGGTTAATAAAGAATTTCAGTGTTGAACAGACTTGGTCCACATCCTGGTTCTGTCATTTACCAGCTGTGTGATCTTGAGTGCATCAGTTAATTTCTCTGAGCCTTATTTTTTTTTTTTTACTCGTTTAAGATGGGATAAATGTTAACACCCACTTCATAGGTGCCATGGCAGTTAATGAGAGGATGAACGTAAACGCATGGTAAGAACTCGGTGAATGAGACTGCTTTCCACCACCTTCTTTTCCTCTGGCTGACCCATTTCCCAGAATCCACAAGCTCCTGGTGCCTTGGAGGCCACCAGCTTGAGCATTGGGGATGGAGAAGTGGTGTTTTGTGTGTAGCTGTTCAAACGACGGTTCTGATGTTGTATAATTTCCCCACAGTTTAGGAGGTTCCTAAGCAGCTGCAGGAAATGAAATGCGAAGCTGGGGAAAACTCTTTCTGGGTCTTTTCCAAGGACCCCCAAGGAGGTACAAAACTGTTCTCCTCTTTCTGCCCCTTAGAATAGTGGTTCTAGTGCTAGCAGTGAACTTTCCTGAATGTCCCAAACACAACTAGAGGACCAGGCCTGCAGTGCAGTGATCACAGAACATTAGTGCTGGATTAGGTCATCAGAGACAACCTTGATTTGCAGAGGAGGTGGGGTTGCCAGATTTAGCTAGTGAAACATACAATGCCCAGTTAAATCTGAATTTCAAATACACAACAAAAACAATGTTTTTAGCATTAAGTATGTCCCAATACTGCACGGGATATACTTACAAGAAAAGGTTTTTTGTTTGTTTATCTGAAATTCAAATTTAACGTGGCTTCCTGTATTTTATCTGGCAACTCTGAGAGGACAGCTAGGTGCCAAGGGGAAAAGCAACCTGCTGGGGTCACACAGCCAGCCAGGTCTATCGTGTTGCCCTAGCCACAAACACATACACCCCAGCTTTGCGATTTTTCAGTTTTTTAATTAAGGTGAATGCTTGCTGAGCTGGGTGCCTCAGATGCCTTGTCTGTTATACAAAGGCAGAACCACTGATTATGGGTCTCTAAGAGCAAAAACAGAAGAACATCGCAGAGCACAGGGGAGGTGGGAGCGGCGGTTAGGACACTTCTTCAAGTGAGGGTGACCATGGACCAGACCTTTAACTGCTCTAAGGTTCAGTTTCCTAACTATCGAATAGGCACAATGGGGCTTAGTTCCAAAGGGTTACTTTAAAGATCAACTGAGATGAGCAATTTCCAAAAAGCTCATTCCTTTTAAACTCACATGAAAAGTTTGTGTACATGCTGTTTTTATCATGACCCGTGAAGATGGAGGAGGAAGCTTTGGCTGTGTAGAGCTGAGAACTGCACCCAACTTCACCCCCTGCCCACAAGGGGCTTCAGACTAAATTCCTGGCCTGGCCCACAAAGCGGACCAAGTGGTCCGTCCCACCCTGATTTACGGGAAATCATACCAGCGATCAATCATCCTTAATTTGTAACTGGGCAGTGTCCCGGGCCAGCCAATAGCTAAGACTAACCCCCCCAACCCCCCTCCCTGACCCCGCGGGACTCTCCACTCAGTCTTCACTGAAGCTGCCAGTGACCAGGAGTTTGGAGCAGGTTTGGTGCTGGGCAGGGGGTGGGGAGGTGGGGTGGGGAGTATGGAGTGAAGAGGTCTGGGGAGGGGAGTGTTCTCACCTCTGTCCTTCCCTTCTCGGGTTTCTTGCCCCTTTTATCTCTGCAGTCTCCACAGGCTTCCACTGGAGACTTCTGCCTCCTTCTGCTCCTCACCCCTACCCCCTCCTGCCCCAGGACTGCTGTGCCCAGCTCCCCCTGGACCTCCCTCCATCCCCCACCTCTGGCCTCATTGTTTGGCTAAAGCAGGACTCCCCCCTCCACTCAAAACCCCTCAATTGAACAGATGGACGGAGACCCGGCCCGGGGGAGAGGAAGGGCCAGCTGGTGCCGGGAATGGGAAGCGGTTTGGGGAAAACAAAACAGAGGGAGGAGCTAGGGAGAGGGTGATCCTGGGAGGGAGGGGGAGGGAACTCACAGAGAGGGGCTGGGGCCTGGGACGGAAGGGGGGCGGGCCCTGGGGTGGGGGCCCCCTGGGCTCTGGGTTCGGGGCTGGCTCTGATGCTGGCTGGCTCTGATGCTGGCTGGCTCTGCAGGTCCGGCTGACATCGCCGCCCAGATGGCCTCGGGGCTGACCCCGCTGACCCTCCTGCTGCTGCTGCTGTTGGCTGGGGTACGTGGCCCTTGCCAGGGGTGGGGGTGGGATGGGGGGGCTGAGGATTAACCCTTCAGGCTCCAGGGAATGAGGGGAGCTCCTCTTGGGATCAGCAAGTGTGATCCTGGCACCCCCATGATATCAGTGGGCAAAGAGCTGGGGACAGCGACAGACGCAGCCTTGGCGGGCTATGCCCTCACTAGCTGGATGGCCTTGAGCAAGTCACTTCTCCCTGCCTGCTCAGTCCTGACTTATAAAATGTTGAATAAATAGACCCCATCCTGTCCACCAAACAGGCTTGGCAGGAGGATCACAGAGTGCAAGGAGATGGGGAGCATTTTGTGATATCAAAGCAGGAGGTGGTTGTAGAAGACAGTTGTGCGGAGTAGGGGTCTGGCTGCTGTGACTTGTCGCAGACTGTCCCAGGCTGGGGCCTGTGGAAACGGGGAGGAAGAGTAGCAAACATATGTGGGCCTGGGTGGGGGTTAACAGCAGTGGGAGGTCCCAGTGGCCTGGGGAAATGAGCCCAGGAAGTGGGGGAGCCCAGGAGAAAGGTAAATGCTTACTTTGGGGTGTGTGTACATGTGTGTGCATGTGTGTGCGTGTTGTGTGTGTGGAAGTTGGCATCCGCAGTGCCCTTTGAGCCTCAGCAGATGATGAGGCAAGAAATTTACAATGAGAGAACTTGGTGTGATTCTTTTCCTCCTGTTTCTGTGAGACCCTGGGCTAGTCACTTAATATGTGTCAGCATCAGTTTCTCTATCTGTGAAATAGGGATAATATATGGTTTTTCTGCTGAGCAACTACTGACATTTGGGCTGGATAATTCATTGTTCAGGGGCTGTCCTGTGCATTGTAGGATGTTTTGCAGTATCTCTAGCCTCTACCCGCTGGCTTCCAGTAGCGTTTTCCTGCTTCCTCCCATATGACAACCAAAAATGCTTTCAGACATTGCTAAATATCCCTTGGGAATCAAAATTGCGGCAGAGCTATTGGTCTATACCATTTCTCTCTCCCTCTCTCCCTCTCTCCCTCCCTCCTTCTCTTCCCCTCTCTTCCTTTCCTCTCTTCCTCCCTTCTTTCCTCCTTCCCTTTGTTCCTTCCTGCCAGAATGCTGATTATTTCCTATACCAACTAAAGGATTACAACCCACAATTTGAAAATCCACTCTTAAAGCAAGGGCCACAAAAGTTCAAATGTCTGTATCGGCCAGGCAAGTGAGTCAAGACTGGCATATATTAATAAGAAATTGCAAGAACAGAGACAAATGACAGTTGACACTCAGCTTCAATTTTTGGAAAACAGTTTCCTACATGGCAATAATTGATCAGCGAGAACAGAGTCCTTGATTACCCCTCATGGTCTGCGGGGAACATTCCTGCTACATTCTACCCCACCCCTGCACCGCCCCCTCTCTGAAGGAATTAGTGGTGGTGGCTCCAGGGCGGGTTCCTTACCCACCAGGCTGTTTCAGAAATAACTCTCTGGTATAGCACCATGTTTTCCACATCCCCACCTTCTCTTCCTGCTTTGAGTGTTTGAGGGGATTGTGCCTCATAGTAAGAAAAATGAAACTCAGTTTCTTGAACCGCAGAATGGAGCCTCCTCAAATCCAAATACTGCCAGCTCCAGCTCCAGGGATCCAAAGACTCTGCAAGGGGAAAGCGAAGGGAACATCGTGGAGGGAGATAGCCCCGAGATTCCAACCGTTCAGCACGTCGAAGAATCTTTCACCTTGTTGCCAACAACAAACTCAACAACCAACTCAACAACCAACGCAACCACCGAAGTAACAGCTAGTACCGCTGAAGAACCCACCACCCAACCAACTACCCAGTCCCCGACAGATCCTGCTACCCAGCCCACTCCTGAGCCCTTCTGCCCAGGGCCTGGCACTCCCTGCTCTGATCTGGAGAGTCACTCAGCAGAAGCTGTGCTGGGGGATGCTTTGATAGATTTCTCCCTGAAGCTCTACCATGCCTTCTCAGCAGTGAAGAAGGCTGAGACCAACATGGCCTTTTCCCCGTTCAGCATTGCCAGCCTCCTCACCCACGTCCTGCTTGGTAAGACCCTGATTGAATTCTCTCCATGTCATACGCTGGGCACTCCTGTGAGTGTCACCAACCCAGACAGTTTCTACAATGCTAGGCCTCTGTGAGGAAGCTGTAAATATGGGCTATATTTGGGAAGACTGGGGGCATATATATACCTTCTCATTCTTTTTTTTTGTTTTGAGACAGAGTCTCACTGTGTTGCCCAAGCTGGAGTGCCGTGGCGTCATCCTAGCTCACAGCAACCTCAGACTCCTGGGCTCAAGTGATCCTCCTGCCTCAGCCTCCCGAGTAGCTGGGACTACAGGCATGCGCCACCATGTCCGGCTAATTTTTTCTGTATATTTTTAGTTGTCCAATTAATTTCTTTCTAATTTTAGTAGAGACGGGGTCTCGCTCTTGCTCAGGCTGGTCTCGAACTCCTGAGCTCAAACAATCCGCCCGCCTCGGCCTCCCAGAGAGCTAGGATTACAGGCGTGAGCCACCGCACCCGGCCATATCTTCTCATTCTTTAGCACTCCGCTATTTAACGATGATCGAATGTATGCTTGTTTGTAAAACCCTGTAGATTATACAAGAACGTAAAAAACAAGGTCCCAGCCACCAGCCATGGTTCAAGGCAAGGTAAGGTGATAAGGGAGATGAAATCGCCAGAGATAGACCTAGAGTGGATCATCGTAATGCCGCTTTCTAGCTCTGTGACCTTAGGCAGATCACTTAACCTCTCTGAGCCTTGAGTCCTCATGTGTAAAGAGGTGATGGTGATATCTACTTCTAAAGATTAAGAAGTAGGTAGCCTAGTGCCTGACTTGATAGGAGGTCAAAAAAATGTTAGTCCCTCTGTCGTCTTGAGAGATTACTGTCTAGTCCCATGTGGTGATTACGCCAGGAATGGCACAAATTACTACAAGCAGTGGAGAGAGTGCTGTCATTCCCCAGGGGGATTCAAAGAAGGCTCCTGGAGACAATACAGTGAGCATATCAGAACCATTATTCTAGAGTCCCAGAATCCCAATATCCCACGAGACGCCAGTGGCACCCTGCTCCCCAGTTATGACAACCAAATTATCTCCAGGTGTTGCCAAATGTCTCCTGGGGGGCACATTCCAGTTAACTGATTTCAGTTACTTTCTTCATTGCCCCCCAAAATACAGCTCAAATCCTGCCTCCATCCTCCACATATTAGCTCTGTGCCCTTACATGAATGCAGTGCTTCATCTCTTAAACCTCGGTTTCCTCACCTGCATAACAGGAATAGTAACTGCCCTTATGTAAAGGGTTACAGTGAAGATTCAATGAGTAATATGGAAGAAGCACTTAGGAGACCTGGAACCAAGTAAGTGCTCAATGGATTTTAGCTATTATTGCACAGAAGACATGTACAATAAATATTTAATAATGAATGAATAACTGAAGGAGTATGGAACATCCATCCTCTTTTATGATTTTCTTATCTCTCCTCTAAATAGTAACCTAGTGTCCCTGCCTATAGGGTGAATCTTTGTAAACCCAAACCAACTAAATAATAGTGAATGTGGAACAGCCAGTGATTGGGTGGACATGGCTTTGAAGGATGAGTAGGATTTAAATAGGTAGAGAAAAGGGGGAGGAGAGTATTCAAAGCCCTGCAGAAGCCTAACTCTGTGATTATTCACAATCCCCACACCCCTACCTTTCTGACATATGTATTATCTTCCAGAAGAATGGCTTCCACCTCAGGTCTTTGACCCCTGCATAGCCGGGAACACCTTCCGTTCCAGCCTGGTCCCTCAACCCTAGTCCCAAATGGTGGGTCTCTCACTCTGCCTGCAAGTGCCTTTCACCTCTGCCTTTGTTGTAGGGGCTGGGAATGTCACCAGAAGAAACCTGGAGAGCGTCCTCTCCTACCCGGAGGACTTTGCCTGTGTCCACCAGGCGCTGAAGGCCTTCACGTCCAAAGGCGTCACCTCAGTCTCTCAGATCTTCCACAGCCCAGGTGAGTGTCCAGGGAGGAGCAGCAGCTGCAGAAAAGGGTCCTGAGGGGGTTCTGGGGGCGGGGGGACCCAGCTCTGGGGAATGTTGGAACTAGAATATCAGGGATGGAGTGCAGAGCAGGTGAGGGTCGCTCCAGGGCTGGACTGTTCTCCTGGTGAGACCTTAGGCACGTCATTTGCATTCGTCGACTCCTTCTAGAATAAAACTATCCTTATGCATCAATAAATAGGGCTAGAGAGCTAGAGAACTATGTACATAAAATAGAAATAAAATTCCATTTTGCTAATTTTGGGGTCAAAGGAATCTTGGGACTCCTGTTCTTTGTATTTTTGTGTTATGTGAATTTGTTATCGTTGACATGTGCTATGTCATCACCTAGGTAATAATGGCAATAAATAGTGATAATAAATTTACAAAATGATCTAATGCAGTTGTTTGCAAACTTTGTTCCTCAGAGCCCCAGGGTTCTGTAGAGCTGCTTCAGGAGTCACGGTGGGACTGGGGTGTTGGGGAGGCTGAGAGGTAGCGAGTGGGCCACCACTTCCTGCGAGAGGGAGAGCGGCCAGCTGGGCTCGCACTGCTCACCTTCCCTTAACCAGGGCCTTTTCATATTGTGGGCTTTAGATATGACTTTATTTGAAAACACAGTTCTGCTGCTTTAAAAGGTTTAAAAACCACAGTTCTAGTCTAAC